TAGACCGTGCGTCTAGGACTCCAGCATGTGAGTTAAGTTTCATTAACCCTATTTTCGTTTAAAATAGAGCTATATACTATGGCTACGAACCAGACGTGTCCTCCGGCGTTACCGATGGCTTCCGAGAACGAGAACGCCATACAACGTCCATGACACCTAGACGGGCGCCGAGGAGTGTTCCATTTCACAATTACGGAGGTTAGCTAACATGTACATTCATGGCTTCCATACATCATCGTTAAATGAAGGGTTCCTTTTTCTAAAGACGAAAAATGATGTGCCATAGTTGTCGTTGCCCCGCCCCCCCCCCCCTCCCCCACGGAGAGATGCTTGAAAATAACACTGATTTAAAGATCAATCAATAGAAATTGTATTAAAATGGTAATTATTTCGAAACGGAGTCAAAACAATCTTACTACCAACACAAATGTTTTAAATGTACGTCTAAGTACAAAAGGGGACATACTTGGCTTTATCCTTGGCATGCGATTAAGCTGAATAGGTGTCCCTATTTATTTTAGCTTCTATTTGCAGCACAAGTTTTGTGTGAACGAGAGTTTTCCGGATGTGTCATGTGACATGACATGTCTTGTCCCACATTCACAGTGAGCGAGGGACACTCGGCATGGAGAGCCAGTACAATGTTTGTCCAGCATCCTTAGTAGTCCCTATGAAAAGATATGATGTCAACTGGTCAATGTCCTCTCTTTGTCTACTCGTCCATTAGTCTATTCGTCAATGTAAGAAACCTAGTCCATAGTAGTTCAAGTTCATGTATCTAAGTACTACTTAAGTGGATGCATTGTACTTCTACGTCTTAACATTGATCTATGTGGGTAGATGTGTATGCCGCACGCGTTTGTAAAATTAAGATGGGTTTAATACTTAAGCTGTGTGTTGTTTTGTCTATCAATATCCTAACCTACACACTTAGTGGATGACCATCGTCTAGAAAAACAGAACAAATTTATCTGAAAATGGATTTGGCGTTGTTGTTCTGTAAACAACGTATGTAAAAGACAACATCTAGGTTATAAAGACGAAATCTGCCATTTTTCAGCTGGAAAGGGGTATAACCCAAACAAAAGAGCAATTCCTATGTTATTCAACCCCTTGATATAATCTATTTTGGTATAGCATTTTGTTGAGATAAGGTTTTAAGTTATCAAACTATAGTATTGTATAAATTAAGACGTTAAAATTGTATACGTTTTCGTTTTATAAAAAAAAAATTCTTAATGATCTTTTCATAAATAGGTTGCTATAAAAAGTGTTAGTTAATTTCAACGAAGAAAAGATATACTATGGCGTACTGAAGTTTACACATTTCATTTCATTTTCCGGAATTTCGATCAATCAAAACCCAATATCTAATAAGTTGATAATCTAAATCATGTTTTAACGCCATATTATGTTCCCATCTTAGCCAAGCGTTTGTCTTTGACACGCATTTAAAAACACCGTGAATCTATCTTAAGAAGAGTAAAAAAAGAAGTTTTAAGTAATTTAAGAGTTGTATCAATAATTAATATTAAAATCTGCTCTTAGATATGTTGTGTAGAAGGGATTGAAGCAGGCGTTGTTTCTGAAATAGCATAGAAGGTGAGGCGATTTGGTGCAGGGTGGAATGGTAGTTTCGGATCCTGTTGGGTTAAAACTACTCTGTCCCTACTTGGACTGTATTCTGTACCTCTGTGTACCCCTGGCGTTGAAATATCAAATTGTGTTTATATTGCTCTCAGTTAGTTGAACAGCTTATACATTGTATGTTAATTTCGATTTTGTTCTCATTCTAGTAAAAGAAAATCTACACATCATACTGTGACTACATTAGTGTGAAAAGAACAAAATGAAAAATAGGTTTACTGTATGTAATATTTTCAAAAAACGAACATATCAGAGAGCTCACTCATTACACATTACACATTAAAACGAAGGTAAATAAATGCAATGTTAACATTTTAAATTTCGATATTTGGAAGGTTTGTAGAAGCCTTGTAAACACCGGAACTAAATATCAGGTAGAATTTCTTTCTAAAACTAAGTGATCTACCTATGCACTTATCTGTCTATTGATATATCTGATTATTTCTTTATCTATCTATCTATCTATATATATATGTATATATACATGGGTGTGTATGTGAGTGTGCGTGTGCGTTCGCGCACGCGTATGTGAATTAATAATTGCATTGACTAGTTTGCTTTTGAAAACAGACTTCGATTCTTCTTAAATGTTTCAGCTATATTTCTTGGACAGGAAATCGAGGACATGCTTTTTACCACGTAAAGTAGCATGTATATACTTCTTTTTAAATTAACTGTACGTTCTCCTGATGGTGCAAGACTGCGTGATACCGAAAAAGTATTTTTATACCATTGTCAAATCAGGAGTGTGTAGTGCTGAATATGAGGCTATAAAATATATTGCTTTAAGCCAGTTGTTTATAACCTGGGTTTGATGGGATGCCATGAGTCAGTCTCTAAGCGTCTGTTGAGGTCAAGACACACATGATTCACGATCGGATTTTGTCAATGCAGACGATAGAACTCTAAGTTGGGTTCGGTGAATGAGCATCAGAAACAGGTGGGGTTTAGCACTCTCTAAAAGGTTAAAAAGGGGGTAGGCGCCGGTAAAAAAAAAACATTGTTATTACTGGAGAGCAAAAATTTTGTCTCTACTGCTTTTTTAAGGAAGGCCTACATGCGAATATGCATTTCCACTAAAAAAAAAATTGGTCAACTTTTTTTGGTAACTTTGACAACTATGACAATGATTACTTATAATGTGAACGTTTTTGAGTGTCTGTGGTATTGGTTTGTGATAGATGTTGAAATATTTAAAAAGGTTAATTTAACAAATAAAAACGGTTGCATTTGATTTGATCCACTCTGTTTAGTGTTCGGATACTTCGGGGTATTCTGTCGACTCACATTCGCAAGTCAACATTACAAAAAGGGGACGATACTTTAACTATGTTAGAGAGCGCATGATAACCACGCTTAGCTCCCCTTGATATTTAGACCAGCTTAATTAAAGTGTCAAACATGACGTACAATTTTATGAAATTTGTCTACATAGATCATAAAGCAAAGAAAGAAAACCACTGTTTAACTTTGAACCGTGTTTGTTATAATTCGATGCTTCATTGATCTACGTTTTAAAATAATTTTACAATAAAGGAAGCAATTAAAGATTTCTGTTTTTTTTTCTGCAAAAATAAACACTGAAATTATTAACATGCGTTCACCAAAAAAAACTATAGAACAACCAAAGTTAGAATAGAAAGCATAATTATAGTAAAAAAACATTAAGAAAATGTAATCGTGACCTATAAGTAAAGTGCATCACATGGACGTAGACTTTTGCAGACAATCTTTATTTTAAAAAATAGTTAACATTCTGTATGTGAACTTCAAAACGAGGGATGAGATAATATGGTGAATATATCAGTTATAATACTAACCATCTGACTACAGCTAGTTTTTTAAAACGTAACATGTAATGCTAGTGTAGTAAACGGAAATGTTATACCATATATAATTATTACGTAAAGCACATTTATAGAATATGATCAACATAAATGAGAAATACGACAAAGATAACAGCAGAAACTACAACAACCAGGTCTGTGAGTTTTTAACATTTCTTTTTTCTCGGCCACCTGCTTTCTCTCCCCTTCCAATTTTGAATCACGTGACCCAGGTCTATGCCTCAGTTCATTTAACAACCCTTCATTTTCTTCCAAGATAACTTTCAAGCTGTTGTCTCAGAATATCATTACTTGCAACTTTTTGACTAAAATTTAATTCTAAGACTTCATCGGCTTTATGGTTAAGATTTGCTTTAGCTTCTCGTGGTGCTCTTCTCTAAAGACCTATAACAATCTGATTCTGAAGCAGTGAGATATTGTTTTGACCTGTTAAGGAAACATTAAACATGCACTAGGCTTATGACACAGACTACGAATATATGACAAGAACAATAGGAATTTTTAGAAAAGTGTGATAATAACATAACAGCTATTTTAGTTAATCTAATAATTGGATTCCGATTTACTTACACACAATAATTAGGTAGCTCAATTAAAAACTATGGAATTATTTCCCTTACCTGTAATATCAACATGCATAACCGGCCTAAAGACATAAAAAGACTATGTTGAAAGAAGTCGAATACAAGTGTTTTGTTTGGCAATCAACAGGATACAATAAAGCTAAAGTGGAAGCAGAGGTGTAGCGACCATTCCCGGGGACAAACTTTCGATTTGCAACCTCCCTCAAACTTTTGATTTGCACCCACCCCCCCCCCCCCTCAAACTTTCGATTTGCACCCCCCTCCCCCCCCTCCCCCCCCCCTCAAACTTTCGATTACTTTTTCCAACCCATTTTCGCGCCCCCTAAGGTCGGCGCCCGGAACATATGTCCCCCCCTACCCCTCCCCCCTCCCATCGCTACGCCTCTGAGTGGAAAGACTTATTTGCCTATGTGAATGAAATCAAAGAGAATAAACCGTTAAGTGGGTTTACTGTTGCTACAGATGAAAAGGAGAGAGAATGAAATATATCGAACATGTTTTGAAAAACTAAAAGATCTATGCTCCAAATCTAAACATCTCAACCTAAAAGAAAATGTAAAAAGCATTCACGAGATAAATGATTTTCAACAAAAAATAAAACCATTTAAACAAATAAAGGTTTTAATAACCGAAAAATCAAACAGGTTTCATAATGATGCTACCAAACAAGGTGACACGAACGTTACCATTAGCAACCAGAGTGACACAAATATTGGCACGCAGAGACTAAATACCGAACTAATACAAATTTACAACTTTACCAGTGAGTCTAACAACCAAACTGGCAAAAATGTACCAATTTACCAGCGATACTCAGACTGAGGCTAACAACAGAACTGACACATGTGTTACCATTGGCACCTAGAACAATGAAAATTCTCCTATGCTTTACTACAACATGACTATGAAAATAAATAACAGCAAGAACTTATATTACTGTGTATAATAAGTTGCGTTTTTATTTATGTGTTAATAGAATTTTACCTTTAGTAGCAAAAATAATTAAATTATGTTTTCAATTTATTTTGAAAAGTTATGGCAATCAAATGTTCAATATGCGTTTACAAAATAAAACGATTAAACATCCAAGAAAGGATAGGAAATATTATTTTATTTAAAATTCAGCATGCAAATACAAGTGTAACTTTTTGTATAAAATACATAATATTTATAAGGATATTTTGAAGGTAACAAAATCAGCATTCTTAGGTGAGCTTTAGAGGTTTAATGTATAATTATGGCGAATGCATTGTTATGATACTAAAATTAGAACGATAGATAACGTTTCGCATGTATTACCCAAATAACATGACATGCTATTCTCTGTAAATGGTAATTTTACACAATAGGATACAATTGTTGAAACTAGAAAATAAAGTATGTGTCACTGAAAACGGAGGCAACAGCTGCAACAGCTGCAACATCTGCAACAACAGCTACACCATCGAAGACACCAATAATAAGATTTGCGAGTTGTAAACATCTCTCTTCTCTCACACACCTGCCTCCGCTTCTCTTCCAAACTTTGAATCACGTGGGTGAACCCGGGTTTCTGTCTGACTTCATCCAACAACTGTTCAATTTCGTCCCAGATACTTTCAAGTTGTTGTCTCATATCATCATTGCTTGCACCATTTTTACTTGGTCCTTTAGAACTCAAGGCTAACTTTTCATCAGCCCCATTTATAAGGTGTTCAGCCTTCTGCCTTAGCTTCTCATTTTGTAGGAGATTTTCGTTATATGGTATGTAGCCTTTTGTGGTGCATAATTTAGTAATTATATCTTGCAATTTTCTAGCTTGCTCCTTTTTCACGACGTCCATCATGTTGCCACTAAGTTTATTATCGAATAAAACACATCTGTCATTTACTTCTCTAAGCAAATCTCGAAAACCCCCGCGTTGATCTTTTAACCAATCTTCAAAGTTACTTTCACCATTGTCTGTAAAGTTGTCACCGTAGGTTAACACAACTATCCCATAATTCTTCAAAACACTCTGGCCAAACACCCTCTTCACCATCACCACTGCGTCCTTCTCTTGTTGTGTGAACCTTACGCCGTACCTCAACACAAAAACAAAAACATGGCATGAATTATTACACAACTGTAGAACTTCACTCGCAGACTCTTCCACATTAAAGGACTCGGGCAGATCGTCACCAGAATCTCCAACATACTTGCATTCAAGAGCGAGGATTTTAACGTTGTTCATCACGCCTTCATACTTGACTATGCGCCCTAGATCTGTCTTAGATTTTTGTGAAGCGAGCAGCGACTGAATTGTTGACGTCTTCCCATTCCCTGACCGACCAACTAACACTATGTTTAGCTGATGAATACCTGGGAATGAGAGTTAAAATAATAATTATCAATAAAAAAGTTTTTAAAACCCCACGTTTTCTGATTGAACTAAAAAGTAGAAAATAAATGCTATACATCACAATAATGCAAGCGATCACTCTACTATAAGCGATCGCAAACTGCGTGCGCATTACGACAAAAAATGAAAAACGTGAGGCGCCGAATTAAAAGTTTTTTATCGGTCATTGTTAATATAAGATGTAAAAGTTATATTACTATTGATTAGATAATACTATTGAGTTTTATTAGGGAGCTTGTAGAGAGTCAACAGTATTAAAATCTGTAAGAAAATCACGGCGATTTAATGGTAAGAGATGTAACAATAGTGTAAGTGTTAAATTATGCCGTTCATTCATTGCATCCATAAATCTTTTTCTTCTTTCTTAATTCTAGTAATGCAAGGGATTCCATACAAAACAAGTATTGCGTCTCAACTTGTCTTGTGCCATATTTGCTATTCACTCCGATTTCAGCCTGCTTTTCTATTTGTATTTTCTTCTATAGCCTTTTTCCAACCAAGAGCAAACTACAAGGCAGCAGTCGTTTGATTTAGGAGTTGTCTCTCCTAGAAACTTTACTGAACCCTGCTGTCTAAACTTATCTGCACTAGGGTTCGATCTCAAGCCTTTTCGGTTTGTTAACAATGAGCTTTACCGACATATAAATGATTACACCTCTATTATACTCATGCGTCTGTGTGTCTCCATTTGCATTGCAATTTTACCAGGTTTGGACTCGTCACAAGTTCGGTTTTAAATACTGTTTTCATACAATTATCAATAACGAGCACTGAGAAATAATTACTAGCCTCTCCATATTTTATTTAATAAATTACGAAAAAAAACTAACAAATATAATCAAAGGGAAAAAGACCTTTAATTACCTCTACTGTTGTCCATCTTGGGTTGTAAAAATAAATAGCACCAAATGTTGCCTGCTACTTCCGAATATTGTGCATGTCTTTCTTAACCTTACAATTTGCTGTCAAATAATAAAAGATACCATTTATAAAATAAATTAAACATTTAAAAAAAAATAACCCATAATAACACATTTAAAAATATAAATACATCTAAACAATATTTGTTGTGTCATATTCACAATTTTCCATGACATCCATTTATTTCACTTTCTTTTCTAAATGCGTTTTATACAAAAAACATTTATTAAAAGTCTTAGTTTCTTATTATATCACACTTACTACCTCTCACATAGAATTCACTATTGAGATGTGTCTCCTTTTCTTCACAAGCCGTTCTTCAGCAGGCAGACATATTGTGACGTAATGTTTTATTTCCAGAAAAATATTTCGTTTGTAAATCGCGATCACCTGCAAAGATATGCGGGTAGGGAGAGGAGCTAACATTTTAAGAAAGGTGCAATATGTAAAAGAAGTAAATATAATAGTGGCATGGATAATCATTATTTTTAATTAGCATAAATATACTAAAAACTTTTCATTAAAAAATACCCAATTTAAATATCATAAAAAATTTAGTATAAACGTTTAAATAGGTATACTCAATTTTATTCTCATACAAAATGTACTAGTAACGTTTAATAGAATAACACCCAATTTAAAAGAAAGTGTAACATTGCCTGCACCCATTGCCTGTTTTCTGTGCTTGGCTTTTGTGAGGAAGAAGTTTCTATCCCTGTGAACTTAAACCTGTATGAGTTTAGGTTAAACAAACAGTGGCGTGTGAGTAAAATTCTAAAATCAAAATTGGAAGAACATCAGTTCTAGGATACATCGCAGATGAGCAGACAATAGATGACCGGTTCAAAGACAGACGGCTTTAACTCTAGTAGCGTTTTTTTTTTGTGCCCCATGACCAGGGCCGCTAGTGCAAGGGGTTAAAATTTTCTAGTACTCACGTACTGGATTTATTATCCCGTTGGATTGCAAATAGGTATAAATTGAGGTTAGTCAGAGACTCGGCACTATTATTTTCTCTCGACTCACGCATACATATAACCTGGCTCAAAAAACGGCTATTTGATTCACCAATAGACGACAGAAGCAAGTCTCCTATCCCGTTTGAAAATTTTACTGTGACTGGTACGGGTAATATTTATAAATACCCATAGACAGTGACAGTAACTATGACCACATGTGTAGTGACGTCCGCGGTCATACAAGTATCCAGATATTCACTGCTGAATCTTAGTGGAAAAAATTATTTTCATTTACATTGCAGTTATTGAGCGTCAAATATTTAGTTGTTCATAACATGCACATTGTATTCAAATGCATTAATAATTAAAACAGATTTAAATTATCTAGACTCTTACCCCGCCCTCTACACATAACTAAACACTTTTCGCTTTGGCGTTTCATTGTTTTATTCTGTTTTAAATGTCCATCATAGATCCTCAAAAGTTAAGATTTTCTTAACAAAATTATAACGTTACAGAAGGCTATGTCCTTCTTTATATGTATAATTATGTCTTTTGTACTTTTAAATATATATATATATATATATATATATATATATATATATATATAATTTTTATTTTACAATATAAAAAAATAGGCACAAAAGCACACATGACTTATTCAAATATTTTACCGCATTCACCTTTCTTGCACAATCCAACGCCCGATATAGCTGTATACATTTATTTTTGACTAGAGAACAGGGATAAAGTGATATTCATGCACGACAGAAGACACACAATGGCACCTCGTCTTGCATCAAGAGAAAAAAACTTTTATTTTAATAACCTCCTGTGGTTATGACATGCCCCACCCAACTGAACGATTTGGTCTATAGAGGGCATTTTTTTCAAACACAAGATGGAATGTTGTCTGTAAACATGGTAACCTTGACCTGGTCAGGTGATACGTGACAGGCTTCATGTCGCTACCCGTCATTAAGTATTCCTCAAAGTTTTTTAATTTCGTTTATTCCATCAACGCTTTCATTACATCTGAAATACATCTGAAGTACATTTAATGTACTTTATAGTACAGTTTTTTAAATTTCATTTTTTTCTTCTACAATACTATCATTTAAATTGGAAATAAGTATATTTTTATACCAGTTGCGTTTGTTGGCTATAAAAACAATAATAACAGGCGCCAAATTATATATTATATTATTTTTTCGATCACATAATAATTAAAATTGATTTAGAGCTAATTAATACTTCAAACCATTATTAAGAATTAATTAATTTTAAGCCCTTTATTTTTACATATGAAAATCATGGACCTTGTTAACATTTTGTAACGAACATGATGTTCTGCTGTAACATTTAAATATAGGTTTTGGACCTTAACAAAAAAAAGTAACTTGTCATTTTACGGTATCAGCATTATTTGAAAACACGACTTAAAATGAAAAAGATTTGTAAAAGCTAAATAAAATACTACACTGCGACAATAGTGATGCATTTTCTTGTCAAATATAGGTAGTATAATATAGTAGGAAATAGACGCAGGTGTTGAAAAATAAGAACTTTTCCTTTATTAAATTTTTTCTGAGAAAATTGAACAATGCGCTAAATAAAAAACTACATTGCGACAATAGTGATGCATTTTCTTTAAAAATATAGGTAGTATAATATAGTAGGAAATAGACGCAGGTGTTGAGAAATAAGAACTTTTCCTTTATTAAATATTTTTCTTAGAAAATTGAACAATGCGCTAAATAAAAAAACTACATTGCGACAATAGTGATGCATTTTCTTTAAAAATATAGGTAGTATAATATAGTAGGAAATAGACGCAGGTGTTGAGAAATAAGAACTTTTTTTTATTAAATATTTTCTGAGAAAATTGAACAATGCGCGTTTTGTCTATGGCGTCACAAGGTCATGTGACATCCTCTCTGCTGTCGTCAAAAAAAAAACAACATTGAAAAGCTATGAAATCTAGTTTCCTTTAAAATGATATGCTCCGTAAAAAAATAACCTAATTTCTGTTTTTTTGTCATGATGGGTTTCTTGCACTTTTGGATACTTTGTCCATTTTTACTTTCTCTTATATACGAAGTATAGAGAAAGTATTGTAATCGTGCACAAAAATCACTTGAAATTTTAATAATTTTCACCGTATTACACCTCAGTGCTTCATCACATCCGAAGTATAGAGGACTTATTTTAATCGGGCAAAAATTATCAATCCAGATTTATCAAAATTAAGAGGTTTTATGCGTAATCCAGTCTGAAAAACTGGGCTTTTCATTTCGTTCGGGGGGGGGGGGGCGGTAAAAATTCATAAATTCAATTTTTCTTCTACGATAATTAAATTTGAATTGGAAATAAATATATTTATATACCAGTTGCGTTTGTTGGCGTGAAAAAAATTACGACAGGCGCCAAATTCTATGTTGTTATTTTTTCCATCACATAATAATTAAAATAGCTTTAGAGCTGATGAATACTTCATATCATTATTATGAAATTATTTTAACCTGTTGTTTTTACATCTGATAATCTGCGATCTTGTTACATGTTATAAGAAACATGTTCCTGTGTTACTTGAAAAAGACAAGTTTTCGACTTTAACAAAAAAAAGTAGTTTGTCATCTTACGGTATCAGCTTTATTTGAAAACATAGCTTAAAATGAAAAAGGTTTGTAAAGGTTAAATCAAATACTACACTGCGACATTAGTGATTCATTTTCTTGAAAATATATAGTAAGTATAATATATTAGGAAATATACGCAGGTGTTGAAAAATAAGAAATTTTCAAAAATATTTTCTGAGAAAATTGAACAATGTGCGTTATCTCTGTGTCATCACTAGGTCAGGTAGAACCTACTTTACGTTATCAATGGTGTTCCACCGTGGATTATGTCAGCCGATACATTCCACCACACCGCCCCACATTGTGGCATTAACCTGTTCTAGGAAACTGATAAATACGCTTTTCGATTTGAAGGGTAAGATTAAAATCCAAGGTTAAGTTGTTTATGTTTTGAAGGTGACCTACATATTCATTGTTATATGACAAGATATCCGTTTATTCCCCGCCCATAACCTACTTCAACTGATGTCTTTCAATTTTAACTCCGATGATTGTTTGTTACTGTTAATTTCGTATAAACAAACAAGTGTTTATGTTAGAAAAGTACCAAATATGTATGTATTTTTATCTCGAATTATGTTGTATACAAACACACACACACACACACATATATATATATATATATATATATATATATATATATATATATATATATATATATACATTAATGTCAGCAAGTGTGTGTGCGTGTGTTTAAGTTTGCGTGTGCGTGTGTCCGTGAGCGTGTGTGCTTGTGTGTGTATGTTCGAATTCGGCAAAAATTGTCACCCAATGTCTCCCAGGCGGTATGAACCAATATTGTTTCCCTACGAGATACCTCGTAATATTTAGCACGACGTGCCACATTTGTGTAGTTTCCCTTTCAAAACTGACGGTCTATGGGGCAAGTGAAGTAGATCTCACTTGTTTCTGTGACCTCGGCATATGAAGAGATGGTGTGGTCAGCACTATGCCCATTATCAAAGCAAGCCGTCGTTTATTCAGTAAACATTATGCATAGCAGGTTGGCATTTAAAAGCGGTTATAGTGGTGTCGGGGGGGGGGGGGGGGGTTGGACAAAATGGTTACCACTATGCCAATAATGATCATGCGATTAATTAATTTAGAGCCAATATGACGGGAGCTCTATTTGTCATGAGTCAAAATGTTGGAAGCCCATTTGTCGGGACCCTAAATTGTCGGGAGTCCATTTATCAGGAACCAATAGGGCCGGCCATTTTGACAGATCCAATTTGAATGGGCCGAATTGTCGGGGTGTATTTGTTTTCCATTGTTATTCATACAAGACTTGCGGAACATAAGGCAGGTGAAGATGATGTAGAGTTAGTCTGTTTTTGTGACCTCGGAATATCAGATACAGCGTAATAAGTTCTTAGAACGACAGGTAAACATCGGACAGGCACATCCTATAGCATGGGTTCCCAAACTATGGGTCGCG